TGGATTTGTAATAGTTAAGACGATGTGATACGATTTTTGATTAATCTTCATGATTCTTACGACATTATGGCACTAATCGTGACTCGCTGAGCGCAAGCTTCGCTATAAAAAAATAATAAGCGCGCTTCCGCCCAAAGGAGCCACGTTCCTTCTTCGTCACGTTTTTTATCTACAAATTTTCATTTTATTGATTTGAATGCATTATCTATTACTAAGGATGTGCGAAAAAGTATTTGATTCCGAAATCGATACGTGAAATCGATCCAAACAATCGAAACAACTGATTTCGAAATGAGTATGTGAATTCGATTCAATCGTTCCACTAAAAACTATGATTTCGAAATCGGTACATAAAGTCGAGTCAATATATGCATTAAACATGTGCACTGAATGTATATTCTGAGTTCAATATTGATCTTTCCAACATCATGAGCCGAGTAATGACTTTGATTTCGAAATGAGTTACATTGAGCGATATTACATAGATCGACGAAAATTAACTTTTTTTTCTGAAAGACAGAGAGTGATTAAATCCTGTAACTTTTTATATTGAATACAATTTCGAACAAAATATTCTATTACATCACAATGTTAAATAATTTTAGAGTAGAGAGCAGGGTTGGGAAAGTTACTTTTTAAAAGTAACTCGTTACCGTTACCGTTCTTTTTTCTAAGAAGTAACTCGTTACCGTTACTCGTTACCAATTTTCAAAAGTAACTCGTTACCGTTACCGTTACTTAAAAATAACGCGTCGTTACAATTTTCGTTACTTTTTAAATATAGGTTTATTAAATATTACAAGGTTTATTTTAATTTTTCCTCCTGCACAAAATTTATAGGCAAAGGCAAAATTTTTTTCGTTGCTAAAATTTGGTCGAAATTGAAAAACTTTAGAATATGCCGGCCATGGAATTTCACATTCCATTTCCTTTGAAGATTGAGATGTACTTGTTTCTTCCATTATTTTTTATTTTTTACTATAATCTTCAGATTAAGATACAAATATCTTTTTGAGATTGAATATCAATACGTATGCCATGTGGAAAATGACTATAATGCCGGCAAACTAAGCAGCTTATGCGAGCACGTGCTTGCACACCATTAAAGAAACAAAAGTTGTTACAAAATCTCAAAGATGAGATTTTTCTCATAACATTAAGAAATATAATTCCGTCATTATAATTCCGACAAACATCTATACACTTCACAATTATTAATGTTTTAAGACTTTGAAGTTACCGACTTCGAAAAGCAAAACAAAATCTAACCTGATTTTTACATACAATGCGTTCAATAAAACAACTCTGCTCGTTGTCTTATCAACACTTGTTGATTTGATTCTAAAAGTAAGAGTCAATCACGTTAGACTGTTATTCTATGTTCCGAAATTCGTTGCCAGTATTGATGAACGCAGCTTTTGTTTACTTCTTTTTCTTTCACATGTGCCCAATGACGCGTATATGTCATTCTGCATTCCACACATTTCGTTGAATAAAAATTACACAGTAAATTTGCAAAAAGTAGCGATAAAAGTAACTGTTAAATTCGTTACTCGTTACCGAAAAATGTAACGAAGTTACTTTTTTCGTTACAAACGAAATTTGTAACGTCGTTACCGTTACAGTTACCAAAAAAAGTAACTGTAACGGTAACGACGTTACAAGTAACGCGTTACTTCCCAACCCTGGTAGAGAGTTAGTGAAAAATGGGTATTTTAACATTCTTACTATGTTGTATCTACACAATATTATTTATGTGTCAGAAAAATTTTATTTTATCTAAAATTAAGTATATTGCATCAGAATATTTGGCCTCCAAAAAGAACGTGTAAACATTAAAATTAAGTCTTTATTAATGAAATATTTTTAAGATTATAACATTTTTTAAATTAAACATATTGTATCTCTTATTATGTGAAAGAATTATAAATTAAATCATTAAAAAGATTATAGATTTAGATTAAAGATACAGTCTATTAAATATTTTACATTTATTTAAATATAAAATTTTTCTTTATATCACTGAGTATAAATCTAATATCAAAACCAACAAACTAAAATGATGAATTTAAAACTTAATACAAACTAAAATGATGAATTTAAAACTTAATACAATGTGATGTTAAAATTTTAAAAATTTCGAATTTAGCAATAATAGCTGATCCACTATAATGATCGTAAAATTATAATCTTTCTGTGATGTAACAAACATAGTTGATCACAAAAATTTTATTAATTTTAATTTTTAGGAAAATTTTTATAGAAGATTCTAATATTTAATTTTAAATAGAAAAGAAAATTATTCTCATACATATAACGTAACTTATAACAAAATATAATGTATATCAAAATTTAAAAAAGTGCTCTTTTATTATTTAAATCTTAAAACTATGTGTTCTCTGAAGTCATTTATACATTAAAAAACAGGAAAAAAATGAAAAACTGGAAAAAAATGAAAAACTTATAACAAAATATAATGTATATCAAAATTTAAAAAAGTGCTCTTTTATTATTTAAATCTTAAAACTATAATGTGTTCTCTGAAGTCATTTATACATTAAAAAACTGGAAAAAAATGATTGTTCTTTCTTGTTAAATTATGTTTTAAGTGGTTTTTCTCCGCCATATTCGAAATTTATTGTCTCGATATGATTATTTGAACCGATTTTATGTATCAAAATAAACACTGTGTCGCATAGCCTTATTATCTACCACGATCGACACATTCGACGTTATATGACACTTTTCTTTCTTCTTTACATACAAGAGTATCATGATATTCTCGTATATGCTATTATTTACAAATCATCGTGCTATCTAGATTGACAACGGGCAATTATCGAGAGAATAAGTAATAACGTCTCATATTGATTACTGAATTTAGGGCGGGCAAAAATATTGATCGAGATTGTTTAAAAATATACATCGTACGTAATTAATACACGCACACACATCGAGAGACTCTAACATTACGGTATGTTCAAAGACATTTAATTATCACATATTTCGCCACGGATATACATATATATATATATATATATATCTCGACATCGAGCGTTATTCTCTCGCGCCCTTTTCACTTGCCTACGTATCTAAAATTCAGTATTTATTTGGTACTATGCTGGCCGTTCGAAAATCAAAAGTTTGTCGTTGTCGCCGTATATTATCCATATACAGCAGCACCAATCGTTACAAGCAGCACCAATCATTAATAAACCTAACAAATGCGATTAAAAAAAATTCGCACCATTATTATATAATAAATAAATTAATATTAAGATTAATAACATTAATCTTAAAAAAATTGAATTTACATAACATATAAATAATAAATTGTTAATTTCTAATATTATAATATTATGTACTTTTTTGTTTAATATTATAATATTAGACAAATTAAATAGACATATTAAATATCTTGTCTCATTTATATATAAACAATTTTTCATTTTCATAAAACAATTTTATAAAACGATTAACTTAAGTTTTAATTGTTTTAAGTAACTTATATTAAAGTATCGATTGGTGTAAAAATTAATGATCGCCTAAAATAATATCAAAAACAGAATATAGATCTATAAATATTACATAGTGAAGAGAAGAAACTAAGATCGTTTGATATATTATTCAAGAGATATGCGCATCTTCTCGGTGTTAAATTGTATACGCTGAATCGACTAATTATTTAATTAAAGTTAATTATCTAAATATCTATAGTTGCTGCTTGTGCGCACAGTGAATAATTTATAATGTAGGAACCGTTCGAGTGCGATGATTAAACCCGCCTTGTGGCGATTCAATTGTGATTTTTACATTTATATTACGTGCGTTTTGTTCATACATATTTTTCGCTCCGTTTTATTTTCAATGCCTCTGTCTTTTCTCTGAATCAAGGTCTATTTCATATATTTGAGCTACATTTGAGCTAGTGTTCAAAGCGGAAGTCGTTGTTTTTCGAATTGACACTAGCCACGGAGTGAACGTAATTACATTATGTGACGATGTCTCTCGCACAGGCCAGTTAATTTAAATTCAAGATTAATTTAATTTAAAGAAAAATATAGTATGGGAATTATTCAAACAGGTACTTTCGCTCTGTGTATAATACTATTACCATAAATTATTCGAAAATACTCTTCAAATGAGCTTCTTCTTGACTAGATTCTCCGTAAACTTCGAAAAACCTTCAATGAAATTACTTGTTAAATAATAAAATTCGTGTGCATTCGAGAATTTGTGGGAAAAACTTTTTAAATATTTCATAAGCTTATTATATGAACAATATTACTTATATCGATAAATGTATTACGTTTAAAAGCAAATGCATCTCGTGTTTCGCGAAATAAATAACATATATTCTTTCAATAAAAGTAGTAAATACGATTCTTAATTATACGCTAATTAACATTCTAATTGCATTCAAAAATTCATTCGATCTTCAAAAATTTCCCCATTACATTTCGTAGTCGTGTACATAGATATGAGCATGTTACGTGAAATATACGATTATTGTCGGAAAAGTAAGGTTCGCTAAAATTTTTCGCTAGAAACGTGATATAACTTGAATGCACATGAATTTTTTCTGCCACCTACAACATACAACGATAAAATTCTCTCGCAAAATTCTTACGAGAGGGAACAATAATATTAAATACTGAACAGTAATTATCGCTCTCTCTACAAAAAGCGACTACGAGCTTTCCCTCTTCGCGCGCAAAAAGCTCTCGAATTACTTTTTAATACTTTACAAAACCATCAGGGTTCACATACGAAAGTCACACACGAATCACGTAGCTACTTATATATTCTCTTTCAATTATCGAATTGCAATGTTTCATGTTTTAGACCTACCAATTGTTCTCCCAACTATAACTTTTATGATAAATTTGCGATTAATTTTTATTTAATAAAAGTTTTGCGGAAGATTCGCAAGCGTTTAAATTTTCATCAAATATTCATAATTAAATATTCATATAATTAAACCTAAATTAAAACTTTTATCGAAATAAAATCCAATCAAAATTAAATTTTTTGTATACGCGAGGCCTCATTTGTATTAGAGTTTTCTAGAGTTTTTCTTTTTTTTAGTAATTAACACCGAAGTTATCGCTGTCTGATGATTTAAATAACCACTCTGTTCCTTGTTACTTGGTCCTCTAGTAGATATAGTTGGGAGATTATTTGCAATGACTTTATGTAATTCTATATATATTAATTTATATATCTTCATCGTATATTTAATAGCAAACGTGATTCTAATTCTATAAGAAATTGCGTTATTTATCAGACAGCATTCAATATTAAATGCGTGGCGAGAATCGAGTCTCTCTAGAGAACAAATATCGCGCTTTATTCTTATATGTGCCACATAATTCTTCGTTATTTTTTAATAGGTTCCTCAAATTTTTACGAGCATCACAAATTTTTATCCTTATACAAATGTCGTCATGATATATAAAGCGGTAGCCTATCATGGCCATCTTCAATTATCTCTCGTGATTTTCGCTTCAGATTGTTCGAAAAACAAAAAAAACGGTATAGAAACATTATTTTGGAAGATTTGACAATTAGGCACGTAAATTGCCCTCTATGAGAAAGAAAGTCTACCCACAATGATTCATTTGCGAAAAGAATTTCTCTTCTTTGTCACTCTCGATAAGACCGAAAACTCACTTTGCATTTCGTTTCGCGTCGCCGAATCCTATGCCTCTCAAACGCTCCGAAAAACAGCCGAGTGGAAAAAGATTGCGTAATATCTCGCCGACGAAGAATCTTATTAATACCTTCTTCTTCGCAGGGTGACTAGAGTACTCGCGAGGAACGAGAATGCGCGAGGTCACGCATCGCCGAGATCTCGTCTTAGAACTGTGTAACTCTGTCCAACATTTGTCGTCGTTGTCGTCGTCGGGACCAAATTCGCTCTTAGAACCCACTCATTAGACGCGTTCTTGGATATCACTCAACTTTCTCGGCATCGTTCTATTTTGGAAGAATCGGAATCGTTTATAGAATATTGAGCAACGTGTCGGGCGGACACACGCACGGAACTCCCCATAGCCGCCGGAAGAGCCTCTTAATCGTATCCTCGGACTCCTCTTCAGGTGTTTCGCTGACTCTGCGAACGCGTGAACTCGTGCTCGCGCCACGAATTAGTCGTGCAAACACCCTCGCCTCGCCACCACTCGTTCACGTCCTTATAATACTTGGGCAGACGATCATCGTGCAACATGGCGCACACTCGACACCAGAAGTACGTGTTGATGAACTCGCCGGTGCCCTTCCAGCGAAAGTACGAGTTGTACAGATCGTCGTCGCGGTCCAATCGATGCAGGTACTCGGCGAGCTCCTTCGGCGACTCGAACTCGTCCACGTGGATATAAGAACGATACGGCGCGCTGCGGGCGTAATCTGTCGGATGGGCGCCCATCACGATGGGCAACACGTTGTGCCTGAAGGGAAAAAATAGACTCGTGATACAAATGATAATTTTTGCCGCGAAAGAAAAGAGAGCATCGTTTTTTTTTCCTTTGGAGCCATTGCGTGTCACTATATCGCGCATACCAGTCCCAAGCTCGTTTTCTCATCGGGGATCTTAATTAAAATCGCACGAGAATCGCACGTGTTTCTGTCTATTGATATGCGAGTAGGAGAGACTAGTAACGCGACTTGGCACGCAACCACCTTATTCGAGAAACACGCGACGCCGCAGAAGTTGGCAAAGGTTGCCGACATCTGGGTGAAATGATCGAGCATTTGCTCGGCCGACTTGCATTTACGGCTTGCGTTGAAATACTTCGCGCCTCTATCTATTTATCGAGGAGAGGAAGAGAGAGAGAGAGAGAGAGGGAAAGAGTAACAAACACAGCTGCACATACCCGAGCCCGTTGACGAAGAATTTTTCCGTGATATAGTCCTTGCAGTTGGAGTTCTCGAACGCGAGATAGAATTTGTAGTCCTCGTCAAGCATGTCGAAGCAGGTTTGCGACTGTGATCGCGGACAGCGTAGACTGCCGCATGCTCCATAAATGTCTACCTGGATGTATTTCGAGAGTTCCCTGGCATAATTCATGCGCTGATTTCGAGGATGGCAGTTGGAAACGAACCAGGCGACCTGATTAAACAGCAATGCAGAAAAGAACGAGTATATCACATGCAATAGTGTTTACCTCGTAAGAACGAGAATAACGCATACATAGTGTCTGCCAAGAAAATAGAGTATTGAAAATAGAGAAAAGTTTTCTATCAAACATTACTGTGCTCCTCTTTCATTCCTTTCACTTTTCAAGAGAATTTTAATTTAATGTTTGTTTAAAACTGAAACAATATTTCCATTTTCAGCGCAAAACTTATACAACTTTTACGTCGGTTTTAGAAAACAATTCTTTAATTTTTAATTTTCATCGTCATTTGGGGAAAAAATGTTTTCCAAAAAAAGGAAAAATAACACAATATTATCAAAGCTGCAATTATACGATAGAAAGACAATTTCTAATAAAATTTTTATTTTAAATTTTTAAAACGTTAGAGACCAAAAATAAAATAGTTGATTTTGATTTTTTTTTTTAGTAAAAGTTTTTAGTAAAAGTCTCGCTTCAATTCATAAACAAATAAAACTAAATGCAAATAAAAATTGCGCGCGTTTTGGCATTTCCATTTCTAAAAAAAATATAGTTATTTATATCAGTTATTTTTTACATGAATATAGAAGTATAAGCGGCAAGTGATTCTCGTTGTTTAATACGCTTATTCTACAAAAATACAAATATACGATATATTGCTTAGAAATAGTTTTGATTCTTAAGCTATTTATTAAATATTATTTACTAAGATTATCTTAATGGTTTGTTTTACCTTTTTCGTTTTGTTTGCCGCATAATTAAACGTCTGTGGAATCTGTGTAATACTGGAATCATAATATTGCCACCTTTCGTAAGGTGCTACTACATCGCTATCACGCCGATATGTGGCGGTCCAATTGATAAGGGCATTCTTGACACTTTGCGTGTGATAAGGACACTCTAAAAAATACAGCATCCATACCTGCCAAAAAAGTCGCATGATTTTCATTTGAAATAAAGAAAAGACTTAATTCTTTGATTTAGAAAAAATATATTCTTTACGAATAGATTCTTTTTATATGATTATGACTTTATGGCGGATCGATCATGACAGAGTGAAAGTGAGGTGATTTTTCCAAGTAGCAAGAATCGATTATTCCATCGCGGATACCTGGCTGTTAGATCTTCGTCCCACGTGCGTGACGTAATCCTTAAATAGAATGAGATCGGCACTGTCCGGATTGTCACGGACGATCGTGCAGGTATTCACTGGGCAGCGTTGCTGGAAGAAAATGTCAGGACCGACTTTGGCTTCGGCCATTCCATGAGGAATCATTATCTTCTTCAGCGGATGATCGCCGTTTGTTCTGTTGTAATCAGGCGGCACAAACATTAACTGCAAAAAATATTTACGACGTTAATATAACACAAAATCGTTTAATATATGTATATCAAGTGCACGCTTTTATATTTAGAAAAAATTTTGATGAAATGTTTATCAAAAGGTAAATCTTTTTATACACAGAAGGAATCACAGAAAATAAAATACCTAAATTATTTTAGTACCTAATATTTTTGTTGAATCATTCGATAACATAAAAAATTACTCGTGACAAGATTTAAATAAGGATTTCAAAATCATGTTATGATTAAACTCTTGATATCAGTTGATATCAATATGTGCGGAAGAAATTAAAATATAGTTGCATCTAAAAAATATTAATGATATGAAGAAAAAAATATTAATGACATGAGAAAAAAATCATCACGTTTAAATTTCAGAGAACCATTAAAATTTTTTTTTGGTATCCTTTTAAATTTAACAGGTATTTTCAGAAAATTAAATCTTATATTTACATACCTGATTCGTCACACGATCATCGTACGCATTTTCCTCTGGCCATAATTGAGCCAATCTTCGGCCAGTATTGCGAGCTTTCCTCGCCGGAAAAGGTCTTCTGGTTCCTCCTTTCATGTACCAAGGTCTTCGTGTTGGATCCGAGTCTATTGAGTTTTCGCCCAAACTGATACTTCCATTTATATTCGATACCTTTGAATGAAAAAGAAATATCTATATAAGAACAAATAATCTCTCTTTATATTGTATTGTGTTATTCTCTGCTACTACTAAAGAAACTACTACTGAACGACGCGCCATCATCTTTTGTTTTTAAACTGGAGTATTTTAGCAACAATATTGCAAAAATACTTTATAATGAATGTTAATAATGTGGAAATTATTGGATTTGGAAATTAGTGATTGATTTATACATTGTACTTTTTTATTATCTAATCTATCTAATTTTTATATCTAATCGCAATATTTAATCGCATGTAGCTTAATTGAAACTAATTCACGAATTTTTATATAATTCTTTTTCTACACGCATTCTATATTTTTGTCAATTTAATTCATTCGGATAAGTTTCAAATATATAATATTTCTTATATTACTTTCATCAGCAAACTAATAATAAAATTCATGCGATTAATTAAACGATGACTCTCTAAGTATATAATGCGTGCATAAATACAGCATAAAAGCATCTTTCATGTTGCATATGTATATTTTTAAAAGATGCCGCAGAAAATGACAAAAAATATTGAGGCAATTTTTTCGCACTTGATATGCGTGGATGATTAAAAAATAGATCCACATATCTAGCTGCAGGCAGCTAAACTATTAAGCAATACTAATGCTACTACATGAATTATTTGATGTGTTTCGATTGTCATTATTTCATGAGCATTATTATTTATATATATAAATATAATTATTTATACAACCTTTTAATATACTATTCAAATATTTATTACTTAATAAAATAAGCTTTAAATAAATCATTGGGATGTTCCAAATAATCTTTATCGGATCCTATATCTAATACATATCTAATAATTGCATCTAAAATATGCAAATTTTTTTGTTTATTTTAATGTTAAACATTTTTCCACTTAATTTATTCACTAAATTATAAAGAGATTATTATTCATATTTTATTCAGAACTTTACCGTCTCCTTACTATACACTTTGCGATAAATTATGATAAATGATGATATTAGCTATGAATGGCCAGACGAAAAAGAGGAAGCCACTAAGTTTGTAAAGAAAACGTACGCACTATATATCATAAGACGCAAGAGCAAGCGAGACGACACACGGAAAAAGTGATAACGTTAAACAAGATTTCTAAAGAACATGATTTATAATAGAACATTTTTATGTAGATTTAGATACACAATATATTAATAGAAAAATATCAAAGTTATCAAGTATTCAAGTATTCAAGTATTTTTACCTCTTGAAAATTTCTTTTGGATTGATACATAAAAATACGACAAATTCATCGGTAATTCATATCATTTTTTTTGAAATGTTTTTCCGTGCACTTGTCGTTTTGGGATTCATTAACGCGCTACAACTTAATGACTATACCTCGGACGGAAGTCTTTTCTTCACTCGCTCCCGAGTGCGTAATACTCGCATCGTCGGCTTCTTCGATTTCAAAGGCCAATCGGGTTTCATCTGCGAGCGAAATTCGTTTTTATTTCTTTATCAATGATTTAATATTTGTGCATAACCACTTGTGTCGCTTTATATTCATTTCTTTTTTTTTTTCGTTTATTTTGCGCGCGATAAAATAAATGAAATGTGGATCTGGAAATGTCTTATCTGGACTTGGTCACAAGATTAGAGAGATTTGATCTCAGGAAAAATTTATTTATTTTTATAATTGAACATCATACGATAAGTGAGAAATATATATTTTATATTTCATATATATATATATATATATATATATATATATATATATTTTTTTTTTTACGCAATTTTCTAATCAATATCAAATAATTAAACTGTTTGCTAGATAACAAATAAAAGATTATGAATATCTTGATGTCGCTAGTTAAATAAAGGGAATTTCAAAGAAATATAATCGACCAAACTAGCCAGAAATTGATTTATTAGTACGACGTTTCGATCATATGGTTGTGGTCCTTATCAAGTATACACGATGTAATAAAAAATTTTTTTATTACATCGTGTATACTTGATAAGGACCACAACCATATGGTCGAAACGTCGTACTAATAAATCAATTTCTGGCTAGTTTGGTCGATTATATTTCTTTGAAAAAACAAATAAAAGATTTAATAACTCACTTTTGACTTATCCTCCATCTCTATCGATATAATTATATCTCGCCATTGCGAGATAAATAGATAAACGAGCAAACTATAGCGCAGAATGATACACGTACATATCTCTTTCGCCTCAGAAATATACGATCAGATAATATAATGATTTTCGCATCATAGAATCGCGTACTTAATTAATTAGAACGTACCTTCGACAAGTCGCTGGCAGTTCGAACGGACTGCTGCGGCTGACCAGGAGGATGTGATCGTATGCTGTGCCATATCTCGTCCTGCAGTAAATTGAGTAGGACAAGCAGCGTACCCGTTAGACATAGCACGTACAAAAAGTATCTCTTTAGGGAGAAACGCGGCAGACCCATGCCGCCCGGTTTCCCTAGCTGAACGAGACCTTTATCTAGCCATGCGCCACTTTGCTTCACGACATTCGGCAACGCTATAATGACAGATAATAGAGAATGAATGAGAGGTCGATTGACACAATAAGTGCTGATTAACCGATTGACACGATGAATGCTAAAAGCAAGCACAATGATAAATTGGAAAGATGACATATTAAATATAGATGCTAATATGATACTCTCTTTACACAAACATAAAAAATTAAAATATCTCTCAAATTAATATATTTATTAATATGTACTATTAAATATATATAATAATAATTTAAATAATATATTAAATAATAAATTAAATATATATATATATATATATATATATATAATTTATTATTTAATAGTACATATTTAATAACATTATTAATAAATATATTAATTTAAAAGATATTTTAATTTATTTTATTTATTGAACATTTTAATTTTTATGTGCAAAAGAATGAAAAAAATATTGAAGAATATTGATTTTAACGCATTATATATAAAATATATGAATATTTAAACATATTTATTTAGAATAAAATGTATGGCGTGCACATAAATGTATAATAGTAGTATAGGAAGATAGCAATTTAGATTTTATTTTATTTTATAAGTTTTTTCAAATATTATTTTCGCAATATATTCTCTGTTTCAATTTCATGGGAATTTATTTATTCTACGTATATTTCTTGCAAATAGATTCTGAATTATGTCGTTTTCTCATATCACTTACTTTTTTACAAAATATAGCGTATATAATTAAATACATTATAATTTTCTAATTATATAGCATATATAATTTAACTTTAAAAGAAATCTATCCGAATAGTGCAATTTATCATGAAAAATTAAATAATAATTATTAATTAAATATAACTATTTTATCACAATATAATATGAGCATTATGCAGTATTTTACCTAAATTATAATAGAATGTCAGAAATTATATGTAAGACTTTGAAAGTTTAAATCTTACTAGAAAATAATGAACGTATTTCATTGATGAACGTACTAATTGTTGAATTGTTGAATCGAAATAATTCATATTAAAATATCAAAACAGTAGATAAATTTTAAATTATATAAAAAAGAGTTGATTCTTCTAACTTTTTCGAACGTATAACATAATTTATTTATGTATCTTCACGCACAACTTTACATATTGTATGCATGATACGTTATCCCAAACCACTACAGAAAATTTGATAAGATTGTCTAACCTTGTAATAATTTCCGCAGCACTGCTCTCCAAACATTTCATTTACATAATTAACGTAATACTTATCACTTTTAAAGCCTGTTATACTGAAATAATTCATTATTATATTATTCTCGGATAATTCAGTACTCTACTATCTTTAGATATATTGTACTTTTAAACTCGTTTGGCTCTGATGTTCATTAGTAGAAATAAGAAATTAAACATTATAATTTTCTAATTACAATTCTTGTTTTGATTTAATGTTGAAATATCAGCGGATTTCGAATAAAAAATAAAGTGAATTTATTATATCTAATTGGATGATTCCAGAATTGAGAAAAAGATACCGTAAGAGACACGATCCATGAATTGCACGTGACGCGGAAACGTCCTTGCGATCTATCGATATAATTCGCTCTCGTATTCATTCATTATGTAGAAGAATTATATATTTGAAACTGATATTAAATTAATTATATCGTGAAATATCGTTTTAACTGGGACGTTGCATATCGTATAATCGATGTGACACACAAGCATTGATTTAAATTTTAATCAATAATGCATGTATCTATATTGAACAAAATATTTGCGTGAGTAATCTGACATTTACATTGTATCAATTTTGTCATATGGAATTAATCAAAGTTACATACATCACACAATGGGTATTAATACTCAATTATTAGATATTAATATAGAATTTTACAGATTGCAGCGTATTATATGTAATTGTAGTGATACAATTATTATATTATGTAGTATTTTTCCCTAAACTTAATTTATATAATGTCGGAACTTATAATAGGTATTTTTTCTCCGTAAACACTTATATTAATAAAACACAATTTTATCTAATTGTCATCAAACACATTATTCTTTGATATACAAATATCGATTACATCAAGTTAATCATGATATTTAGTATTATATTTCATGATATGAAGTATTAGCTATTTAATGCAATGTTTGCAGACATTATTTTCTTCTGAGGAAATCATTATCACTTTGTGAAAATATCTTATCTCTTTTTCACATAACGATTACAACCACTATGAATCATGCGTTACAATTGATGTTTCAATCTTATCATTATCACTTATATACATATTCCTTTTTATCTAATAATTCTCTCTTTTTCTTCCATTTTCTTCTCATCTTTCAGCTGATACGATACGGAAGATTCACTGATGCGATTCACATACTTAGCAATACTTTTTTTACGACTGGTCTTTTACATTCATCTAAATTTATTTAACGGTCCATTGGCGGTTACGTAAATGTTAAAAGTTACAGCGATATATCTCTATATGTATCTCGCGTTTAAATTTATACTCGCACAGACACGGAATATATATGTCAGATACGCATAACAATATATGCTTGCACATTTGCACTCGCGTACGTTTGCGCGCGACAGTCGCGGGACGTGAAATGTTTCGGAAAATGAAGCATCCTAGGAAATGCTCTTCGCGGACTCTCGCCCACACCCGTTCGCTCGATAGTGAACGAATCATCCTGCCGGCTGCTCGTGAAAAGGTGAACGATGGATTCGCCGCGTTGCGACACGCTTTCATAGCTCTATCTTTGAACTACACGATAAAGTTCACCAGTACAGCGACCGCTACACGTGTATACCCAACATGAGTGAAAAGTTTTCGTTTATCTAGTTTTAGTTTCTCTCTGCAGTGCATCATATATATAGTCTCTCATATTTTAAACACGTAAAAAATTTTATTGTAGTCTCCCATATTTTACCTTCTTCAAACATGCTATCCATACTTTTTTCTTCGTGTGTCAGTGCCCATATCTATATTTTTTGTCAAAGTAAAAAACTTATTTATCGATTCCCTAAATTCTTATCCTAAATTCATAAGGAATTTATTTCAAAATGATTTAACGAGAAATGATTTTTTTAAGAAGAACTATTTCGAAAATATTATTCTTGTAATAAATTGATATTCATATGATAAGAAGCATCATTCGTATTAATTACAATAATATTGATTAATTATTAATTAAAATAATATTAATTAAAAATATTAATTAAATAATATTAATTAAAATAATATATTAATAAAATGCTAATGTATAAATAAGTCTTTACAAGAAATCGATAATTAACTGGATGTTCCCGATTTCATAAAGAGAATTCAACTTCGCCGAATTGAAAACGTAAATAATGCAAACTTTTACTCTTCTCGTCCCATTGGAAACTGTATTTTATCACATTAACTTGCTCGCCTTCGCCAACTAAATTGCGTTCGCAATCTAGGTTTTAAATATTAACATCGCACTCTAACTCGCGAAAGTTGATCAATGTTGATCAACCCTGAATCAACATCCGAAAATATGCTTAATATGCATTTCGGGAATTATCTAAAGAACTTTATCTGCAAAATTTTTTCAATCGCGATTTCCTTTTACGAAATCTTTCCTTAGTTGGTATGTTCGTTCAATTTCCCGTTCAAACTTTGTGTTAACGAAATATAGATAATTTAAAGTAAAGCATCATCTCTCTTTACGCAAAGATTCCATGTATCCACAGATATCTGGATTTCTCCGGTTACGTTCTTTTCACACACTGGTGTTAAATTCTGTGCTCACCCGCGCTAATATTGTCGCATACCTATGCACAAGCGAACGAGTCGAATACTGGTCATCGGCGAACTGTCTTGTTATATCGCTATCTTATCGCTTGTTTTTAGCAGGTCATGCATATGTTCCATATAAGAAGAGATGCAAAGTATTCATTATCTTTAATATCTTATTATAATTTATTTTAATATCTTATTATGCAGATTTTCTCTTTTCCAAGATTGCATTGCGCTCTTCAAGATCGAATTGTTAATCTGAAAACCCCCGAACCACCTAAGTAACAGTATCAATTTTGTCTTGTCTATCTTATCGCGTTGCTTGTTAATAATAGCATTTTGCGTGTCGTTGTTTCTTTTTTTATAGCATCGAGGTCAAAATGACCAATATCGCGATAAATTTTGCGCGTTATACACGCGAACCGCGCGTAACAATTTTTGAACGTCATACATTTGTCATTTTGATCAATCGAAATTTTTCCATCACTAATTCATTATGCAATTTCGACTTTCTTATCGATATTCTAATATTAATCGATGCAATCGTGGTTCGTCGACAAACTATGCATCACGCAGGATGAATTAAAAACATTCCGTTCGCGCTTGATCGATAATTGAAAATATATTTTACTGTCATATATATTCATACTTTGGCGATTACACGAGCGATGATGCATCCTCTGCGAATTTAATCTCGACGATTACGTCGAAATCAGAACCAACTCGGCGAAACCAACAATATTGAAAGTTTGCTAAACGACACAATACGTTATCAACTTTTTCATAATGTAACAGTTGCGATAAATTTATACCCAGGAATCGTTCGCGGACACGCTCGTTGACACTGAAAGTATTTTACTTTATAATTTTCTTACGTCAGACTGTTTCCGGGAAAGGGGTTTATTAGATGTTAATGATATTAGATATCAATGCATCACTAAAATGTCGTTTCATACCAAACAACGTAAATCGAGATTGAATGATAAGCGCTATTTCGTTCTCCGTTTATATTTAGCATCGCCCGAGTTATTTCTGTGAGAAAACTTCAGAATTTTTGATGGGCGCATGTAATGTAAAATCAATCGATTTAAATCGAATATACATATACGGCAAATTGACGCTGCAATCTCTTTCTATTGGATTAACTCGGATATTTTATTCAAATGCCCGGAAGGGGCAATGTTGAACGGAAGATTACATATATTAAAGCGATGACATTTTGATAATCACACTAGTATTCGGCGATAATGGGTACCTAAGTAT